AAGTGTATCTTACTAAATTATTCTCTTTAATTTGTTACAATAAATTCGTGACAAATATCGGTATTAACATTACTATTGTGACAACACCAATTCGTTATAAAAGAGAACATTAATCTTCTTTTTAATTAAGTAAGATTCAATCAGTTGAACTCAAGTACAACGTCAGTGCATAATATTACTAACAAATAATTTTAATTAATTAACTGTAATTTTATATCATAAATCAATAAAATATCTTAAAATATGTATATAAATAAAAATAAATATTTTAAACACTATTGTAATGAAACTTTTACACCTTTTGAGAATTATATTACACTACAAAATACTTCATGTTAGATAAAATAGTAATCAACATTAATTCTCTACCTTGATTTTTTGACAATCATTATTTTCTTTCAAGAAAAAACTTAGTTAGATACAGACAGTACCCATCCAATTGATTTTTTTGGTAAGATAACTAAATCTAATAATATATCTCGTTGTTTTCCGTATTTTTCAATTTGAGTTTCACTAGAAATAAGATGAAATTCATACTATTAGGTATTTAAACTAACATAATTAATTTTTAAGAGCATGGTTGTTGCATAATATTTGAATACTAGTAGAGATATTATTCAACTACTAAAGAAAATGCATAACTCATATATGTTAAAGTTATGATAAGACATTAAAATACTCTTACATGACATAATTCTTTTGTTACGTCGGGCGAATATGACAATATTCATTATTATTAAGAGCTTGTGCTTTTTAAAAATTTTATTTTATAATTCAGTCATATAGTTTAACAATATTTGTGTGATTTTAAAATTCATTTTACATTGGACAAAATAGTAATATTATCGTTTTCCTAATATATAGGATTCTAAAATCCTATAATTTTAGTTATTAAATCTTTCCTTGTTTGAATTATGTAAGAATTTCTAATATTTAGGAACTTGTATGTAAATCTTACCTTATATAAATTGGCAAAAAATAGATTAACCCACAAAATTGTATATTTAATGCACAAGCATTATAACAATGAACCACAAGAATTTTTTAAAATTTATATCCAAATAATAAGCTTTAAACTTTAAAGCATATCGGCCACCTTTACATGGTAATATATTTATTCCAACCTTGACATGGTAATGGAATTCACCATTTTCTACTTTGAAACATTCTTTAAGCACAATTTCACGATTTTAAAAAAATAAATTATTAAACAATTTAAACTAGATCTCTTCAATTGCAGTACAATATTTTTCTTCCATCAATATAACATCTGATTAAACTAACATATTAAGTTATGTACGATTCGATATTATTTATTTATCTACCATTGTCTCCTAGAATAAACTTAAGAATATACAATTTTTCAAAAAAAAAAATCTTAAATGTTTAATGATTATATTTTCTTGCTTAAACTTTAAAAGAAGCATGATAACTTGTGAAATTGAAATAATTACATTATAACTGGAATAAATTTTAAGTTATATATTTACGAAGATTATTGACACTTACATAATAGATTTTTTTCTTCTTATTGAATAACTAAATAGGATAAATAATTATCATTTAAGGAACTTAATTGTACTTTTTATTTTATAATTAAATTACAAGCTTTAATGTAATATTGTTATATTCTTATAAAAATAAATTTTATTTGAACAGTGTAGAAACTTTTAGCATTCACAATACCTTAAATAATTAAATTTTAATTACCTTATATAATTATTTTCATATTTGAACGACACATAATTGTAATCCCTTTCATGTTACAATTAAATATCGAAAACTTGGGATGAGCTAATATTAAGAATTTGAATCAACAAAAAATAAATTAGTTCTTTTAATATCAAGGCCAAATAGTTAAGTCAAAAAATCCAATTCAATTATTTGTTAAATTCATCGTATAATTAAAATTATTTTTCAAGTTGACAAAGNATATATATTAAGGAGTATAAAATAAATTTTATTTTATAATACAGACATACTATATTTAATAGTAAAACATAATTTTCTAAAAGATCCTAAATTCACTGATTTAGATACACACGCAAAGCGCGTACCATAAGACTAGTATACAAAAGGATAAAATAGTAGTAGTATTTGGTTTAATTTTTGCATAAAGTCGTACTCAGTTTTTCTGGTGATGCATATGTAATCTAGTAAAAAATTAGTGTATTATATATGTACTTACATGTGTACTGTCATGGGCGGATTTCCAGTCATGCCCCATGACCCCTTAGACGCGCCCCATGGCGTCCTAACAAGCTTCCCAACGCCTAACGCCATGGTCGGTCTCGTGGTCTTGGTCGCGCCAAGTGACAAATACGCCTGTGCCTATGTCGCCCCACCGATATCCCTCGCCAGCGCCCAGCCGCAGGCAGATGCCAACAGCGCCGCACACGCAGACAGTGTCGTGTGCACAGACCCTAATACTAAAGACAAGGTTGCTGCCGACGAACTAGCTTTTCCTTTGTAGGAATCTAAGTCCATTTTATTGTAAATATAGAGTAGTTTTATTTCATGTATTTCCATTATGTATCTCTAGCTTAGGTAGGTCAAATCATGTAACTTTGGTTTATTTTTTTTAAGCACTATTAGGGGGATCAAACAATCAAACTTTCTAGCGTAGATACAAACAATCAAACTTTAATGCAATCAAGCTTTCTTGATATTGGTTTTCTCGTACGACACTGACAATCTCGTCTAGCGTACGGAAGGGACCTTAGTTGGCGGATAGTAACTACACGGACATCAGTTGCTTAGCGTTACGTCGCCCTTCCAAGGAATCTCAGGGAGGCGCCACGTAATAGTTGGTATCAGAGCCTAGGCTCGACATCGGACGAGGGAACATATTGCCATTACCATCATTTCTGACCATGGTGAATCATGGGGATCACATTGCAACCCTTGAAGAGATGGCTGGCGTATTATGACCCATCATGGATACGATGCCTGAACTAAGAACCAACCTAGTGGAAAGGTTGGACGGCCTGGACCGCATAATGCTCTAGGTCGAAGTTGACATAAAAAACATTAGTCACGACTCTGAAGGAGACGAACAAATGGCAGCCACGGAGGCAACCGAAATTTTTGGTAAATTCGAGGGCCTCCAATGGGAGCGTGCCAATGATTTAGCCTACAGGGCACAAGAGGCAGACAGGGTGACTGTCATGCAACAAACTATAGACAACTTGACAGGCCAACTCAATGTTGTCAATGTTGTCCTGCTTCGAGGAGGCGAAAATCAAATCGAGGGAGCTGTGAACCTCGCCCCGTGGCACAAAACTGAGAATCCCTAAGCCAAATCCACACAGTGGAGATCGGAATGCCAAAGAAGTGGAAAACTTCATCTTCGACATCGAACAATACTTCTATGCCACGAGGGGACCTAGAAGAAGCTAAAAAGGTAGCAACTGCTGCCATGTATCTTCAGGGTGATGCTAAACTCTAGTGACGGGCAAAGTATGCAGCCATCAAGGCCGGTGCAGATACTCTCGAGACATGGGCAAAACTAAATGAAGCCATACACCTACAATTCTTCCCCGAAAATGTTGAGTACAAGGCAATGAGAAATCTACGGGAGCTCCACCAGACCAAATCAATGCGGGATTACGTGCGAGAATTCTTTGCACTCATGCTGAACATACGATATATGGGGGACAAAGACAAACTCTTCACATTCCTGGAACGGTTGAAACCTTATGCCCGTATGGATTTGTAAAGACAAAAGGTAGACTCTTTACCCAAGGCGATCCAAGCAGTGGAGTGCCTTAGGGACTATCAAGTGGAAGCTCGAAAGGATAGGCCTCAACAGCCTGTCCGAGGGGGATACAAAGGGGGCCAACCTAGCACTGGTGGCCTTAACAGAAGTGGAGGATATCAGAGTGCAACCAAATCTAAGGCTCCCTCCTCAGGCAGTACTAGTGCTGCATCTAATAACAATGATTGGGGGAGGAAACTCCTTTCAAGATGTCGTCATTGCAGCGGGCCACATTGGAATAATGAATGCCCATATGTATAGATGAATGCCCATCAAGCTTTTGATGATGGGACGGATGATGACACAGATGATGCTGACCAGACCGAACCAGCAGGTGCCTTCAACGCACTTGTTGGCTCTATTTCTTAGGCCTTAGTGGGAACCAGTACTGGTATCCGTAAAAAGAAGGACTCATGCCTAATCACCAAGAAAGGAAAAAAGAAGGCGGATGAGAGGACTCCTCTTAAATAAGAGAATACCTTAATGTTCATCGAGATGAAGGTGAATGGCAAGCCCATTCGGGAGAAGATAGACACAGGTGCTACCCATAACTACCTAGCCTCGACTCAGGTAGAGTACACTGATCTAGTTATAGAAAAGGGCAGAGGTCGTGTCAAGGCTATCAACTTACCGCCTCAGCCAGTGGGTGGAATAGCCAAAGAAGTACCAGTGAAGCTTGACCTTTATGAAGGAAAATTCAACCTGTGTGTGGTGATCATATATGACTTCGAGTTGATAGTTGGGTTGGAATTCCTGAGGCAAACCAACACCATGCCTGTACCGTATGCCGACATGCCATTAATGTTGGGAGTAAATGGGGCCAAGCCCTGCATTATCCCGTGCATGCCCATAAATATTACCGCTGAGAACATCTCGGCCTTGCAGTTGAAGAAAGGGATCAAAAGACATGAACCTACGTTCCTGGCTACCCTCAGTATTGAAGATATAGAACGACCCTCGGGTCCCATTCCTACACCCGTAAAGGAGTTGCTACTGGAGTTTGAAGACGTTATGCCACAGGATATACCAAAGCGACTCTCGCCTAGGCATACTGTGAACCATGAGATTGAGTTGGTGCCGGGTGCGAAGCCACCTGCCCCAGTGCCTTACAGAATGTCACAACTCAAGTTCATCGAGCTTCGGAGATAGTTGACGGAAATGCTAGACACGGGGATCATCGTTCCCTCCAAGTCCCCTTATGGGTCCCTTGTGCTATTCCAAAAAAAAAATAGGATGGCACCCTATGACTCTGTATGGATTATCGGGGCCTAAACAAATCACTATGAAGAACAAGTACCCTATCCCGCTCATGGAAGACTTGTTCGATAGGTTGGATGGTGAAACAGTGTTCACCAAAATAGACTTGAAGAGAGGTTATTGGCAAGTCCGAAATGCTGAAAGAGATGAGCACAAGATGACCTGTGGGACAAGATATGGGTGGTACGACTTCCTAGTCATGCCATTCGGCTTGACTAATTCTCCAGTTTCATTTTGCACATTGATGAACCAAGTCTTCGGCGAGTACATTGATGAGTTTGTGGTAGTCCACTTGGACGACATTGTGATATATAGCAAAACATTGGAGGAATACCTGGAGTACCTGCGGAAGGTCCTAGCCCGACTGCGGGAACATGAACTATATGCAAAGTTGTACAAGTGCGCCTTTTTTCAAAAGTAGATTGACTTCCTCAGACATGTCATTGAGGAAGGGCCGATAGAGATGGACCAACATAAGATTCATGCCGTCACAAATTGGCCGCCAAGGCTATACAATATATTACGTACGCCTAGGATTGGGGTCCCAGGCGAGTAGAGGCCTTCAACGCATTACAAACGACTATGTCTAGTAGCCCCGTCTTAGTCCTTCCCGATTTGGACAAGCCATTCAAAGTACAGAAGGATGCCTCTAACTATGCTCTAGGTGGAGTCTTGTTATGAAAGAGGCACCCAGTGGCGTACGAGAGCAGGAAGTTGAAGGATGCAGAACGACGCTATGACGCCCACGAAAAAGAATTATTGGCTATCATCCATTGCTTACTCCTTTGGAGGCACTATTTGTTGGGAACCCCGTTTGTGGTCAAGATAGACAACACAGCTATCGGCCATTTCATGACCCAGCTAAAGTTGAATGGCCGACAGGCCAGGTGGCAGGAACTCGTATCAGAATTTCACTTCAACTTGGAGTACCAAAGCAAGAAGACCAACCAAGCTGCTGATGCGCTCAGTCGAAGGGTAGACTTAGCATTGGTGTGACTAATCTCCACCCTAAGTGGGAGCGAAGTGGCCACCACTAGAAGAGACCAAATACAAGATCTACCCCCAAAGGATCTTGTTGCACATTATTTGGTTAATTTTGTCACAACCCAAACCGATGGACCGCGACGGACACTCGGTACCTTACTTAACTGAGTACCAACATACGAATCTTTTCATGTCATAATATCATAAATAACTGATCCGGAGAGGCCGCCGTGAAATAGGTAGGATACAACATGTAATACCAATCTATACATAAGACATACGAGCCTACAAGCCCAAAATAACCACTCGTACCCTGATTATAGTCTGACAAGGCCATACAATATCTTACGTACATGACATCTGTCTAAAAGCCTCTAAGAATATGAAATTTTGATAAAGGTCGAGTCAGAGTCCCGCCATACCAAACAATACACGTCTAAATCATACCAACCAAACAAGCAACTCCGAAGCAAATGGAGCGCACCAACATCTTCTGCTGAGCTGATAGCCTACTTGGAGGGCTCTAAACCTGTCTATCGGGACCTGCAGGCATGAAACATAGTGTCCCCAAGCAAAAGGGACGTTAGTACGAATAATGTACTGAGTATGTAAGGTATATAAATAAGTACATAATAGACATGGAGGAAATATATAGTAAATGACTTCACCTGTAAGTCTGAATAACTTTGTAAATCATGAAATACTTATTGTATCACGCATATGCGTATGAATGTCATTTCGTGCATAGGTATATATTTCATAACATCATCAGCCTCTGAGGGCATCCCATCATATTATATCGGCCACTGTGGGCAAAATCATCATCGTATACCAGCTGATCAGGTGGTGGTGCATATATGTTGATACCCAATTTTTTCCTATATATTTTAAATATGCATAACTACCTTCCTATATATGTTGATACCTAATTTTTTCCTATATATTTTAAATATGCATAACTACCTTCAAATAGCATATAAATGCATATATAAGCATGTCCAAGGTTTTTATTATTTTTTTCATAATTTTAAGGGATTAAATTGACTTATTTTCTCCCGTTTTATCAATAAAATCCCCAATAATTATTTTCAAAATTATTGTTTTGATAATTCATCTATTTAATTTCTATATTTATGCCAAAATATGGCTAAGGTAATTTTTATATATTTTTACAATTACATTTAGTATTTTAAAGCTAAATTGCACATGATTGCAATATTAGCCCTTTTAAGATTTAATTATGTTTTATATGCATAAAATTGGATCTCATATTTTTAAATTGTTAATTATGTATTTCAAATAATTATGGCACCTTAAATTTATTTTCAAGAAATTGCTTGTTATTATTTTATAAATTAAATAGATGAAATTGGCTATTTAAATAACAACCAAATTTGGCTTTCAATTATAGCCAAAATTGGACCTCTTTCCAGCCCAATTTCATACCCAAACCACCCGACCCATAACCTATACACATCTACCCGACCCAAGCCATCCTAAATCCTAGCCGTTAATCTCTTAGATCAACGGCCCTCGTTCAACCTTTCCTTTTTAATTCTGAGAGACCCCCTAACCCTAATCACTTTTCTAAGGGTGCCGCCCTCAGATGCTCTTATCTCTCTTCTTTCTTGACCTAACCCTAATCACTTTTCACTGCCTCCTACTCCGGTCATCTCCGGCGACCACCCTTTCAAACTCAAGCCTCCAAAGGGTCTCTTCACCCTGCTCATCATCTCTAAGGCCCTCAAGGGTCCTAGGCCATGTCGATTTGGACCTAGGGTTTCTGTTCCTGTTACTTATGGGTCTCCAGTGTGATTTTGGGCAAAATCACACCTTATTTGCCACGATCGATGAAGTTTCAACAGGTTCCTTTAATTTTTACTTGGTTTTCTTTTTGAAACCCTAACTCTATTCTGAATCTCTCATATCTATGTTATTTTTATGCTATAAGCCTATCTCCTTCTGTGACTTGCTTATTCTCGAGCTTTCTTCTGAAAAATCTTCTACTTTAAACCATTTTTTACTCCCTGTGAGAAACTAGGGTTTTCAGAGTTCTTTCTATACTTGTTTCGACTGATTTCTTTATGATTAAACCTTTTTCTTTGTTTATCTTGACCGATTCTAAGTTCTTACTGCTTTTTAACTCAACTCTGTTAAAAAGCCCTAATTTCTTAAAGATTTTCTTTACTTGTTTCTGTGTATTGGCCTGATCTTCTTTACCTATTTCTGTGTGTTAGATTGGTTTTCTTCACTCTGGCTCTGTGTGTTAGCCATGACTACTAGACTTTGTTAAGTTTCTGTTGGTTACCATGCTTCGAATGAGTTTTTCTACTGAGTCCTTAGCCTACTTGTGTCATTTCTATATGATTGTGTCCATCTGGCATGCTCATCTCTTGCTTCTTTCTATCGATATGGCTGACCTTGCATGTCTGCTGCACCTGTTCATTCTTCTCTATTTATATGATGAAGTACAGAATCATGAATCTCTCTTGATTGATCCCGATTTCCTTAATTTATGGTTTGATTGCAAGATTTTCTTATAAAACCTTAATATTTTACTCAGCTCTTTAAGTTGATTGATTCCATTTTCTTATTTGATGTGGTGCTTCATTCTTGCTGAATCCTTTCCCTAATTAGTGTATTCTGTACTTAGACTCAGTTATATGCTCTATACTTTTACTACCCCTTATATGGTAAAAACTAGTCTTTCTTAACTGAGTTTCTTTCCTTGGTTATCCCTGTTAGTATCCGTTTAAGCTGTAATTCCTTGATCAAAGGGGAATACTTGTATTAATTGGATTTTATTTGTGATTACTTCCATAATTGTGCTAAACCTTTACTTGTTACCTTATTTTCTATCTATTTTCAAAGTTATAAATACCCTAAGTCTTTCATTAACAAGACACAAGACTTGGCTTTCAAAAACTCCTCTCTTACTTAAAAACTCCGTGTTATTCTACTACTATTAGCCGGCTGCAAGCTAAGGCTAATCATCTGTAAACCTTGGTTCTTTCATTTTTCTTACCTCTATCTTCACTGGTATGTCTTAGTTTAATTTAAAGTCTGAACAACAACATGTTTCTATTCCTGTTTCAATTTCTTTTATTTCTAGCATGTTTTTACTTGTGGTTTTGTTTTGAAGTTTGTATCTAAGCATGCTGATATGATCCCCCTCACTTTAAATTCATGTATTCCCTTTGTGTGATTCAAGCATGCCTGGACAATTGTATTCTTTTACCTACTGTGCATTTACCACTTTGTGGATCCTAAATCCCTTATCCCTCCTCTATGTGTTCATGACTAGTTTATGATTATGCCAGTGTCCAATTATCTCTGAGCATGTCCATACCGGTCCTAATACTCCTACTGGGGTCAGGTGTCTGCAGTCAATGTATATGTATCCCCAAACCCCCCTTAACCCCATGTGTGATTACTGAATTCATTCACTTGCTGTGTGTGGTCTTACCCTGAAATGTTTGAACTCTGTTTTACTAACCCAACTTCTTTCAACCATTTCTGTTACTAATTGCTTTCAAAATGGACCTTTCAGTACAGTTTTTTAACAAACTCCTTTCAAACATGTGTCCTACACTTCACTCTACTCCTAGTTAATAATTTCTGCCCCCTCTAGTATGTGTACTGCCTTGGGATCCCCTTGAGAAACCATGGAACTCTGGCATACTAAGGCTGGCCTTCCACACTGCACTAGTTCAATGCTTGGCTATTAAGTCTAGGTGTAAGCATTGTCCGGGGTCCTTGAGACCCTTAGGGAACTTTGATGCACCTAGACACTGATTTGTCTATGGAAACAAAGATTGAAAAACCATTGAAGGCTTTGGGTAACTATGGCCTGATTGCAGGCTCTCTATAGAATAGCTTCTTAATTTTTATTTCACTTATGTAATTCATTTGTTGGACTGTAATAATTTGTAAACAGATATTTGGGGCATTTAGTGAAAGGGTGGGTAGATGTATACTTTATGGGTAACTTGGGTAGAAATCTTGCTTAAGGATTTAATTTTGAATCTGCTTGCCTCACTCACTAGAGAACATGCCTATAGGGTTTCTGTTCCTGTTGAATCTGATTGCATTTGCATAGTAGAAGCATGCCTGTAGGGTTTCGCTTTCAATCTCATTTGCATCATAATAGAAACCATGCCTATAAGGACTTCACTTTTAATGTCACTTGCATCGGATATGAATCATGTTCTTAAATCCTGTATTTGTCATGTAGAAACCATATTTTTAGGTTCCAAGTCATCATGTTTTAAATCAACTCAAGTGTAGATACCATGCCTATAGAATGTAATTCTGATTCAGCAAGCCTTTCATATGTTACTGCAAGTTGACTAAAAACAATAATATGCCTCGATACCATGATCTAATTCGCAATTTTGTCTGGTAATTCGAATTAGCATAATAGATCAAATATACCTT